GAGAGAGATCGTCGGCGGCCATTAGCCTGCCATAGAGTAGAAGACCAAAGACGATTGACGTTTTTCCATCCACAAGATGACGACAGAACTGCACAATAAGCCCTTACGCTTAGAAGATTATAGCAGTCTGATTTCTAACTACAGCAAATCAAATCAATATTAAACTGGTAAGCATACCTGCCAACACTCCCGTTTTTCCTTGGAGTATCCTGTATTTCAGACCAATCTCCCGCAACCATCCTGATTTTTATTTCTTCAGGAAAACTCCCCTAATTTCAGCCCCCCTCCTCCTCTGGTACAGTCTGTAAACACCCCCAGGTTGCCAACTTTGGTACAGTATCCAATCAAAGCGGCCACCTAAAACCCGTTGCATCCTGTGCAGGTTTTCAACCTCTCCCTCTCCCCCCCGGGTCTCCCGTATTTTCAGAGACATGTCGGCAGGTATGTTTGTAAGTGATATTAAGTCGATCTCTCTCTCTTTTGTACGTTGATGTATTTATACAGATTTGCTCGCATATCAGGAATGTGTGTTGTGTTGGCAGAAAGAAAGAAGCAAGTCCTCATGTGTTGAGCGTTTTTCCTTATCGCAAACACAACAGCAGTCTGGTAGTGATCGCGTTGCTTTTTTCGGGGTTAATTATTGTAAAATCCCGATTGCAACAGATCAATACTGTCGACTGTAACACTGTAAGAAGATCTATCTCTGTAGATGGATGGCATTTCATGTCACGTTCAGCCTTATAATCTTAATGTGAGCAAAATCAGCTGTTGTCTTCACTTTAGACATTACGCTATAGACTCATTTAAACACTAGCTCTACAGTGATGTTGGTGAATTAATTACGGCTTCTGCTGTTCTGACGTCAGCTGCAGATGTGAATGAATGGCGGAAGAAAGTAGTTCCTAATAAAAAGGGCTTTTTCGACTCTCCGTGTTTGATTTTCTTACTTCTATACACTATTGTCCCGTCGAACTGTTGTATAAATGCAATATCAAACTCGTAGCAGTGCCATATGGCTGTATATCAGCACTGGTGGGACGCTAATACCTAGTTCAGACTGCGTGATTTTAGCCCCGATTTTTGCTCGCTGACAGGTTTTGAGAAATCGCCGACAAATGCCTGAAATCACAGGCAAATCAGTGCTCGTGCACGTGAGTGACAATCACACAGTATGAACTTTCAAAGACATGATTTGAGAGAACCGCAGATGAGTCGCCGATGGCTGCGAGATATTTGGCGTGCTGAATATCTGGAGCTGTCGGCGATTCAAATCATGCCGTGTGAATTGAGTTTTGACTGAAAATAACATCAGCGATCGCTAACAGTTAATGAGAGAGCGGCATTCACTAGTGTGTGTGTGTGTGTATACCTGCTGCAGATCAGCGGGAGGTTGGGGAGAAGTTAAAAACGCTCTTTTTCGGTTTATTTGGACCCACGAAATGGAGGAAAAACTAGTGGAGGTTTGACAGGACTCAGGAGCAACCGTGTCTGTTTGACGTTTCATACAGAAAGAAATTAGTTTATTAGCAACGTTGAGGAGAAATGGCTAATTCCCTTTAAACCCAGGTGAGCAAACATGTACATGTACATAACAAAAGATATACGACGTATTTTTGGCTGTGAGACGTAGTTTGGACGAAGTTGTCGGCGATTCTTCCAATAGTAATGCAATGCAATGTGAATGTCCCTGTCGCCGATCCATCTTGCAGTGTAAACAAAGCAGCGATGAAACGCAAGTCCACATAGTCATGCAGTGTGAAAACATCTGACACAACTACTTAGAAAATCATGCAGTCTGAACTCGGCATAAGGCAATGCACCTCCCACCAGTGCTGATATACAGCCATATCGCACTGCTACTCGTGTGATATTGCTCATATATATGGATATATACATATAGCAGGATATGAGATCACTTGTTTCCACTTTGATAAGGTGATAGGAGATTTTTGATAACCCAGCCCCTGAATCATTGAAGTTTAAATAAAAGAAATATATAAAAAAAAAAAATACAAGAAACACCCAGCTTGATTCCGTCCTCTACTGTTTACCTTTCTGATGAAGGCCCGTCGGATACTCTTATCTTCCCAGTTGGAGTTTGCAAAGTCGTCATTTCCGTAGTAAGACGGAGGTCCGTCTCCACCGTGATATCCAGGACTCTCCATAGAAGCTGTTCAAACACAATAACACATGAGAAGGGGAAATATAATGTGTGTTTGAGCATTTATTACAGTGTACTAAAACCAAAACTGGGTCAAAGACATGATATTCAATTTGGTCTCTGCATGAAATGCCAATTATAGAAGCAATTTTAACACAAACATTACCTGACAAACGTTTGGTCACCTATCCAAGAGAACAACAAGTAATAACTTCACGTTAAGTTGATGATTTAGTATCAGAAGTGGCTTATATGAAAGGCCTCTAGATTTTGCTTATTTGAGCTCAATAAAATCTGATCATGCCTTGATGTTGACTGATTTCATTAGGACAGTAAGGTCCGACTCTGCTCAGACTAAAGTCTGGTCACTGAACAGAAATAATGTCCAGTATAGAATATAAAGTCCTGCTGCAGTGGAGACAGAATGAAGATTGTGTCTGACTCCATCATGAGCTTGGAGGACTGCATCCACACATCTCTGACATGACTCACATCACTGATTAATAAAGTCATCTGGAACGGCAAAGAAAGCGTTCCTGCAGGACTCCCAGAGTTCATCAAGAGTCTTTGTGTTCATCTTTAATGCCTCCTCCTTCATCTTACTCAATAATGTTCATGTCTGGTGACTGGGCTGGCCAATTCTGGACCACCTTGACCTTCAGGAGCTTTGATGTGGAGGCTGAAGTATGAGGAGCGCTATCCTGCTGGAGAATTGTCCCTCTCCTGTGGTTTGTAATGTAATGGGCAGCACAAATGTCTTGATCCCTCAGGCTGTTGATGTTGATCATCCACTCTGCAGATCTCTCGCACTAAATGTAATCCCAAACCATGATGTCTCCTTCACCAAACTTGACTGATTTCTGTAAGAATCCTGGCTTCATGCGGGTTCCAGTAGGTCTTCAGCAGTATTGGTGATGTTCGGGATGCAGTTCAGCAGATGATTCATCAGAGAAATCTATCTTCTGCCACTTTTCCAGATGATCAACCAGAAGTCAAGTTATTATTTGCTGCTCTTACAACTGAGAACAAGACAAATCTTTTGTCAGGTAGAGTATAGTAATCAATATGAATGAGGTTTTCATATATTGTTCTTCACCCAATAAAGGGATAATGTTTCCAGTATTGATGAAACTTAAATTAACATTGTTGAAATAACATCCATGTAACTGCAAACACTAATGGTCCAGACATTGTTTTTAACCATTACAAATGGCTATAAATCTGTATATAAAAAAAAAAAAAAGACAAAAAAAAAATCACATTTGCCACCTTCACGTGTTTTTTCTAAAGAACTGAATTAACCAGGTACCCTTTAGACCTGAATATGCAGTTGACTATTATTAAAAAAATATATATCGTAATTAATGTCACTGCAGTTACCATACCATACCATAATCACCGGCCACTTTATTAGGTACACCCTACTAGTACCAGGTTGGACCCTCTTTTGCCTTCAGAACTGCTTTAATCCTTCGTGGCAGAGATTCAACAAGCTACTGGAAATATTCCTCAGAGATTTTGCTCCATTTTGACATGATAGCATCACACAGTTGCTGCAGATTTGTCGGCTGCACATTCATGATGCCAATCTCCTGTTCCACCACATCCCAAAAGTGCTCTATTGGATTGAGCTCTGGAGACTGTGGAGGCCATTTGAGTAATTGGACAGGTGTACCTAATAAAGTGGTGCGTGTATGGTTATTTCCCTAATAATATGTTTAAAATAATGTTTCAAAATATACTGTTGACATAATGTGTCAAACTTTATTTGACCCGAAAATCAGTTTGTAGTAGGTAAGAGATCAGATTAATGTTAAAATAAAACAATAGACAGTAGAGATCAATGAATGTATGGAGTGAATAATAAAATATACAGCTGACCAACACGTGTTTTAATGCTTGAAAAAATAAAAACATTTCCTTCATTGACCCGCAGTAAGTTCATTCAATGAAATGCACACAGAAATGGAAAACTGAAGTACAACTTAACCGGTTTTATAGGTTTGGAAAGAACAGCACATATCATAGCATCGACATCAACAGAAGCAGCAAAAGATCTTAATAATACAGCTGAAGACGTGCTGATTATTACAGCAGGCACTGAGGATGATGAAGTAAAAAAAAAAGAGCAAATGATGGATTTTCAGCACTCAGTGAGCTGGTAACCTTTTGCTGAATTGCTCAGGCAAAGCACTTTACCTTAAACACAGCCTGAAAACACCATGAAACCGCCTTTTATTTTCATTCATTTTATTTTATTCTTTTCTAACTTGGGTAAAAAAAAGTTACAAATATCTTGTATTCCCAAAAGTTGTGTTACTAAACTTAAGAATGAGTCATTTAAGGGATAGTTCACCCCAAAAATGAAAATGTCGTGTTAATTTATTGATCCACAGGAGAAATCGAAGAAGATTTTGAAGATTACTTGCCCCTCAGAAGACAATGCCGACACGCAATGAACTTATGGTGGTATATATATATATATATATATATATTATAGGAATTATAAGGAAGGAAATTGGATGTCTGATAATATTTTTTCTTCTGGAGAAAGTCTCATTTGTTTTATTTCGGCTAGAATAAAAGCAGTTTTTAATTTTTTGTAAAAATTATTAGCCCCTTTCAGCTGTATTTTTTTCGATTGTCTACAGAACTAACCATCATTATACAATAACTTGCCTAACCTGACTACCCTAACCTGCCTAGTTAACCTAATTAACCTAGTGAAGCCTTTAAATGTCAATTTAAGCTGTATAGAAGTGTCTTGAAGAACATCTAGTCAAATATTATTTATTATTTTTTTGTCATCATGGCAAAGATAAAATAAACCAGTTATTAGAAATGAGTTATTAAAACTATTGTTTAAAAATGTGCTGATAAAATGTTGGCGCAATAGCCTAGTGGTTAGCGCGTCGACATATGGTGCAGTTACACGTCAGGGCGTCCCGAGATCAAATCCCGGCTCGAGGACATTTCCCTACCCTACCCCCTCTCTCTCTCCAACTTTGCTTCCTGTCTAAAATCTGTCCTATCTAATAAAGGCAAAAAAGGCCAAATAAAATCTTTAAAAAAAGAAAATAAAAAAAAAAGAAATGTGCTGAAAAAAATCTCTTAATTAAACGGAAATTGGAGAAAAAAATAAACAGAGGGGTTAAAAATTCAGGGGGGGATAATAATTCTGACTTCAACTGTGTGTGTTTGTGTGTGTGTGTGTGTGTGTGTGTGTGTGTATATATATAAAGAATAATACTGAAATGGTTATGGCGTTTCAAAATCAATCTTTGTTGCTTTTTTAGACTTTTTAAGTCCTGCATAAACTGCCCTAACATTTAAAGTACTTGCATTTTAATGCTGCACGAGATGTTATCTTTTATCCCTTCTCAATAATGCATGCTCTAGAATTTGTGAATGAGTTTTTAATATTATGTTTTAAACAAAGTATTTTAGAGGAGAAAAAAATTGGGGCTTATTTCATTCATTCATTCATTTTCTTGTCGGCTTATTCCCTTTATTAATCTGGGGTCGCCACAGCGGAATGAACCGCCAACTTATCCAGCACGTTTTTACGCAGCGGATGCCCTTCCAGCTGCAACCCATCTCCGGGAAACATCCACACACACTCATACACTACGGACAATTTAGCCTGCCCAATTCGCCTGTACTGCATGTCTTTGGACTGTGGGGGAAACCGGAGCACCCGGAAACTGAGCCGAGGCTCGAACCAGCGACCCAGTGACTTTCTTGCTCTGAGGTGACAGCACTACCTACTGCGCCACAACATCGCCCGGGGCTTTTTTTCTAATCTGGAAATGACCTAATAGTGTCTGCATCAAATGTACTTTATAGAAGCAGTTTTAAATGACGCAGAAAACATAATAAATAAATAAATAAATAAATAAATAAATAAAAAAATAAATAAATAAATACATACATAAATAAATAAATAAATGTATGCAATCATTTTCCCCCTCATTTTGATTTCATCGCCAATGAAAATCACTTGGAATATTGAAAATGATTATGTGAAATGCTGAAAATTCTCCCAGTGTGCACTTTATTTGATTTTTTATATTTGTTTATTGTGTTTTTGATAAAACAACATTACATTGGAGGTATTCAGTAACAAAAGGTATTTTCATTTAGTTTTTTTTTTTACTACAAACTTAAGACAGAAACAAATGAACAAAAACAAAATACGCAAACTAAAAAGGAAAATAAATTAATTAAATAATTAAATCAAATTAAAAACTCCCTAACTGCATCAGAACAGCAGAGTCACTCGCTATTTTCAAGAAACGACTAAAAACTCAACTATTTAGTCTCCACTTCACTTCCTAATCTGCAATTGCCTCTTTGAATATCACACTAATTGTACAAAAAACAAAAAAAAAAAAAAAAAAAAAAAAAACTACTAACACTTCCCTTCTTAGACTTTACAGACCTGAAACTTGCCTTTAGTACTTATTCATTGTTGCTCTTAGTTGTGTAAATTGCTTCCTTGTCCTCATTTGTAAGTCGCTTTGGATAAAAGCGTCTGCTAAATGACTAAATGTAAAATGTAAATGTAAAAAAAATGTATGGGGGTAAGAGTAGGGGATGTTGGGGATTCAAGGTTGGAGGAGTACATCACTGTCAATATGGATTATTAAAGGGTCCCATGTTTCGTAAAATGTTCTGATTGATCATCTAATACAGGGGTCACCAATCCTGGTCCTGGAGAGCCGGTGACCCTGCAGTGTGTTTCGCTCCAACTTGCCTCAACACATCCACCAGGGTGTTTCAACTATACCTAGACAGACCTTAATTAGCTTGTTCAGGTGTGTTTGATTAGGGTTGGAGCTAAAATCTGCAGGACACCGGCCCTCCAGGAACAAGTTTGATGACCCCTGCTCTAAGAACATCTTAATTTATTTGTGAATCTGGCTACTGAACTTAAACCTAATGTGGAAATACCCTAATCGTACTTACCATTAGGATCTACACCGAAGGCGGGCTGGCCGGGCCCCTGCTGGTATGGGCTCTGAGGGTACGGCCCTTGAGCGTAGTTCGCTTGCGGGTATGGCATCTGTGGATATGGCATCTGTGGGTATGGGCCAGGGCCAGGACCAAACCCTGGTGCTGGAGGCTGGCCGTAGGCAGGCTGGCCATAATCGGGTGGACCATAGGGTCCTGGTGCCGCATACGGAGGGGCCCCTGGACCCTGGCTGTAGTTTGGAGGAGGCATTCCAAAGGCATCCGTTTTGGGGGGCCCGTAGACATTGTTGTGAAGGGGGTTATTTTCCCCCATTATGGGGTAGGTTTGCTTGTCCTGAGACATGTCTCCTTCCCTCACTGCAGTCCTGATGATGACAGAAAAACAGAAAGATTAGAGAAACCAAAGTCCCCTTGATATTTTAACACACAAGAGGTCATAGTCCTAGATAACATCCACTTGCACCAGACACTTTCTTAAAATCACTTCATACCTCTATAAAACATTGCTGAGTGTGCCTCACACAGGTGAGTGGGTTTGACAAACCATCTGTAGAAGCACTCTACTCTCTCTTTATACACCGCAAACTTTACTTAGGGTGCTTTCACACCTAGACTTTTGTTTGGGAACCTGTCTCGTTTGCCCAGTTAGCATGGTTCGTTTGGCATATGTGAAACCACCAATCACTCTTGGATCCGCGCCAAATCAATCGCTTCGAGATCGCTTGAATGAGGTGGTCTCGGCTCGATTAAAGCAAACTCTGGAGTGGATCGATTGCAGTGAGAAAGCGATCCATTCCGAGCGAGGTTATATCACAGTGTTTTATGGATATGTAATACGCTTACGGCTATATGAAGACAGGATTATGAGCAGGGCGGGAAGTTTCGCGAGTCTCCGGATGCCCGCAAACAAGTGATGATCTCCCGGTAATCTCGCGTCTCCCTCCCGGTCCTTAAATAGGCACCGCCCTTCTCACCCCTCCCCACCGCATCTCTCCTCAGACACGTCGCACGCGCACCCTGTCAATCACCACCAAACCACCACCTCTCCTGACAGCTGAGCGGGACGCAGCAAAATAAACCCTGACACTCTGACCAATGTGAGGAGAGTTTACTCACACCTGACTTGTTTTGGCTCTTTTGGTCCGTTTAGAAACTTTGCAGTGTGAAAGCGAACCGAGCAAAGAGCAACAATGTAACAATTGTAATCTCGGTTTTGGAACAACTGAATCGATTCACAGGTGTGAAAGCACCCTTAAACTCCAACTTACAAGGACTCAATAAGGAAAACAATGTCTACTTGTGAATGTGCCACACAATCATGATGCACTACTTGTTTTATTTAACCTTAAATAGATCTTTTGCGCAATATCTTGCACAATACTGTTCTGTCTTATGTGAAAGTACTTGTATGCTCTGTCTTAGGTTATGTGTAGGCCCACGCGGATTTTTAGCCCATCATTGATTCTGTTTATTTACTTGAGTAAATGTGTGTAAATCTATATTTATTCAGTTTTTAAGTTAATTTCAGTAATATTATTGACTATCATGAAAATATTAATATTATTTATTTACCATGCAGTTTTTACAGTAATATTTTCTGTCTTTTAGTAGAGATATTATATGAGAGACTTGATTTGTTTACCAAATAAAGTGGATCTAATTGGATTGGCATTGTAAACATTAAATACAAGTTAAACAGGTATTACTTTTCATTTCATATATTAAGGTTTTAGTTATGATACTCCCAAAGTCATTCCGCATAAATCCGCAGATTTTTTTTTTAAATGTCCGCAGATTCCGTCTGGCCCTAGTGATGTGTACAGTTAAAGTGTATGCTCCACTGTATGTTCACACATGTAGTGGGATGACAAAACAGCTTCACTTGACTTGATTTCTGTGTACTCACTGTTATGCAAAACTGTTAACCAATCACTATACTTCTGAGTCTACACTCAGCCAAGGCCATTCAAACAGAGCACAAAATAGTCTACTTCCAAATTGTATTTCTTGATGTAAAATGTTTCTTGAGACAAAACTACAAGTGCACCACAAAGTACAGCACAATATGAAGATGTAAAGATAAAACATATATATACAGTTAAAGTCAGAATTATTGGCCCCCTTTGATTTTTATCTTCTTTTGTAAATTTTTCCCAAATTATGTTTAACAGAGCAGGAACATTTTCACAGTATGTCTGATAATATTTTTTCTTTTGGAAAAAAGTCTTATTTATTTTATTTCAGCTAGACTAAAAGCAGTTTTTAATTTATTAAAAGCCTCTTAAGGGCAAAATTATTAGCCCCTTTAAGCAATATTTGTTTTCGATAGTCTACAGAACAAACCATCATTACACAATAACCTGCCTAATTACCCTAACCTGCCTAGTTCACCTAATTAACCTAGTTAAGCCTTTAAATTACACTGTAAAATGTATAGAAGTGTCTTAAAAAAAACCTGCTCTCTGTTAAACAGAAATTGGGGGAAAAATAAACAGGGGGGCTGATAATTCTGACTTCAAGTGTGTTTGTGTGTGTGTGTGTGTGTGTGTGTGTGTGTATACATACATATGTATACATACAAATAAAATAAAACAGCAGGGACTATTTGAGATATTAGTTTTTATTGTTGTTTTTTGTTCATTTATTTATTGCAGCATATTTATTGCAAATTTGAATGGCAAGACTGAATGACAGGACTGATATAGAAATATGAGCTGCAGATTTTTGCCCTGTAAGCATTAAAATAAACACATCATTATATCAATACAGAGATATGTCTACACTATTTCTGGCATTCTGCATAACATATTTGGGCTCATTGTAAACAAAACTTTCATTTACAATAATACTAATATTAAAATTAGTTTGCATTTTCTAATTCTTGGGTTGTGGTAAAATAACAGGAAAAATCAGTCCTGATTTAATCTAATGGAGTAAAAGAAAAGTAAAATTTTGTATTACACTCATGGTTGTTGAAAGGATGGGGACAGATTCATAAGAAACCGGCAGAATTATGTTGACTAAATTACTGAAATGTCTAGTCAACTTTTTTTCAAATATAAGACTGACAAATTAATGAAAAGGGATGAAATTCATTCATTCATTTTCTTGTCGGCTTAGTTCCTTTATTAAACTGGGGTCGCCACAGTGGAATGAACCGCCAACTTATCCAGCAAGTTTTTACACAGCGGATGCCCTTCCAACTGCAACCCATCTCTGGGAAACATCCACACACACACTCATAAACTACGGACAATTTAGCCTACCCAATTCACCTGTACCGCATGTCTTTGGACTGTGGGGGAAACCGGAGCACCCGGAGGAAACCCACGCGAAGGCAGAGAGAACATGCAAACTCCACACAGAAACGCCAACTGAGTCGAGGTTCGAACCAGCGACCCAGCGACCTTTTTACTGTGAGGCGACAGCACTACCTACTGCGCCACTGCCTCGCCCTAAGGCATGAAATACCGTTCAATATCTTTCCAGCATTAAAATACATACTCTGAATGCTCAGGTAGTTTAAGCAGGACTTACACACCCTAAATTAAACAAATCAAGACAAAAAAAAAACCGTCATGTTCCAGAAAAACGATCTCTGTTTGTGATGATCTGATCAGAACAACTCTAACTGGACCGACCGCTGGTGAACAATCCAGCTCTGTCTGTTTACTCAAAGAATCAGTTCAGTGAATAATGCTGCGCTTCAGCACAAAAGAGGCCGCCAGAAGGCAAAAAGGGCCATGATTCAGTGGGCATTCACATTACGAGTGAATACTGAGAATAAACAACACCTCGATAACCTGTTGACAACCTACACACAACCATGTTTCCACCAGTGATTCAGTGGGTGCAGCACAGCATTGAGAAGGTTGAGCACAGCATGTGCTAGTGGTTGTGCGGTTGCTGTGGATACTGATGTAGAAGTGTACGCATGTGTGCATCTGAATGCATGTGATGGTGGGAAACCCCGTCATTTATAGCTGCGAGAGTGAGACTATAAAAAGCAGCTAATAGTCAACCTGAGAATGGGATGGGTGTTGTGTCTAAGAGACCCTTCAGGTTACATGAAGGCGTTGAAAAGCTGCATGGTAGCCCACGTAATGGAAAGAAAAGCGGAGATGGTTGAAAAGTTTTTGTATTCTACATGTCTGTGCATGAAAGTGAAAGTGGTGTGGGAAATGAAATATACACTCACTGGCCACTTTATTAGGTACATCTTACTAGCACCGTGTTGGACCACATTTTGCCTTAAGAGGTGTCTTAATCCTTCATGGCGTAGATTCAACAAGCTACTAGAAATATTCCTCTGAGATTTTCCTCCATATTGACATGATAGCATCACACGGCTGCAGATTTGTCGGCTGCACATCCATAATGCCAATCTTCCATTCAACCACATCCAAAAGGTGCTCTATTGGATTGAGCTCAGGTGACTGTGGAGGCCATTTGAGTGCAGTGAACTCATTGTCATGTTCAAGACACCAGTCTGAGATGATTCACGCTTTATGACATGGTGCGTTATCCTGCTGGAAGTAGCCGTCAGAAGATGGCGACACTGTGCTCATAAAGGGATGGACATGGTCAGCAACAATACTCAGGTAGGCTGTGGCGTTGATGCTCAATTGGTACTAATGAGCCCAAAGTGTGCCATGAAAATCTCCCCCACACCATTACACCACCACCACCAGCCTGAACCCCTGAAACAAGGCAGGATGGATGCATGCTTTCATGTTGTTGACACCAAATTCTCACCCGACCATCTGAACGTGTCAGCAGAAATGGAGACTCAGAGCAGCAACGTTTCTGCAACCTTCTATTGTCCAGTTTTGGTGAGTCTGTGTGAATTGTAGCCTCAGTTTCCTGTTCTTAGCTGACAGGAGCGGCACCCGGTGTGGTCTTCTGCTGCTGTAGCCCATCCGCCTCAAGGTTGGCGGTGTTGTGTGTTCAGAAACGCTCTTCTGCAGACCTCGGTTGTAACGAGTGCTTATTTGAGTTACTGTTACCTTTCAGCTGGAACCAGTCTGGCCATTCTCCTCTGACAAGGCATTTGCGCCCACAAAACTAGTGCTCACTGGATATTTCCTCTTACTCAGACCATTCTCTGTAAACCCTAGAGATGGTTGTGTGTGAAAATTCCAGTAGATCAGCAGTTTCTGAAATACTCAGAGCAGCCCGTCTGGCACCAACAACCACGCCACATTCAAAGTCACTTAAATCCTCTTTCTTCCCCATTCTGATGCTCACTTTGAACTGCAGCAGATCGTCTTGACCATGTTAGGCTCATTACAAATTTGAATTAACAAGAAGTTTGGCAGGTGTACCTAATAAAGTGGCCGGTCAGTGTATATAGCTAATACATTAA